TTGGTAATTTATATAGTCAGAGAAAGAAGATTCGTATAAGAGGGTATGAAATGTAAGAAAAGGAAAATAACTGAGTTACAGCTTTAGTCTGAAAGAAATGGTCTCAATATAATAGAAATTCGCTAAATAAGTTAAAATCAGTAGAAAGGTAGAAGAATTATTAATTAACATGGAACAATATCAAATTACAGTTAACATGGAAATGACAAATTGACCACACTCCTCGTCATTAGGCAGAGGTCAGGTTGAAAGCGTTCTATATCACATCATCCCCTCCATGTCACCTTCGTACACATGCCCAACTCGTCGTTTTACATTCCAGTTCCACTCGAGGGCATGGCCTGACCTGGCACGTGATGTCCCAAACCGTCTCCTCAGGGTATGGCCAATCCAATCCATCTCCACTTCCTTCTGCATACTTGTTGGATGACAGGTTTTTACTTCCTTGGTTCGTTGCCAGCCGCAGATCCTGCTTGCTTATTCTTATTATACTGGCCATCTGATCTTCAGTATGGAGTGAGCGTAGGTGGCAGCTGTTGATCTATGTGTGTAGTTTGTTGGAAATGCTTTTCGTTACGTGCCAAGTTTCTGATCCATATAACAACACTGACTGACTGAATTGGTGTTGAGAATCCGGATGTTGTTCACGCCTTATGCACTGCTGAATGCAGTGCAGTGCATTGCAGTAGATCTCTACACTGATTTCAGATTAATGAAGGCCTGTCCATCCGATCCTGACTGGCTTGGACGTCTTCATGTGTGCCACCGCCTGTGGTTGAAACGATGTTGCCTAGGTGGTAGGTGGAAGAGACTACTTCCTTAAGGTTTCTGGAATTCATGTTGATTGGTGCTTGTTTGTTGGGTATCTTTATCATGTGTAACAATCTTGGCGACTGTTAGCTAATCTGTCTACCTTCTTGCTACACTAAGCATTCGAAAAAAATTTATTTTGGGCACAGTAAAATGTGCACAACTTATCACCAATATTGTAGTTTTTTCAAAAACTGACTGATAATTATGCGAAATTATGTCTAGAATCTTTCATTCAATGTCTTAAACTTGGTGCATCATTCAGTCTCTTAATAAATTTAGACGAAAAGGATTATAGTGAGAAATTCTTGGTATTTTTTCTTATTTGGTAAACGCCATGTGTAACAGTGGTTCTATCTGAAGTTTCACTGACCAGCTGTAAAATTGGTTACTCAACCTTTGAGTTCAGATAATGATATGTATTGTAAACCTTTCTTTTTCATTAGTTCTGAGATAGTGTCTCCTTTAGAAATCTAAGGGGGGTCACATATTTACGATTTTAAGAATGGTTCACTCAACTTTCGATTTTCCACAAATGTGTGATAAATTTGCATAATTTATTGTATAGACCCAACCTACTGATTAATTCTATGAATTTCAATCATATTTTGATTTCCATCCTTTTCCGAATCAAAAAGTACAAAATTAGTTTATACCTTTCCCCTTTGATTGTCCTTAAATCTAGCGATTGTTATATTCTAAACCAGCTAGTAAATTTAAATGAAGTTTCTTTTAGAATCTTCGCTCGTATGAAAACGAAAATGCTTCCATTAGTAACCAGGGAATTTTCAGGTCTATCATTTCATTCACTGAATATTATGAGCAGCATCCAAGAAATGGCAGTTAGTAGGAATACATTGTAAAACGTTATGAGATAATGCTACTCTATGCTTTAAGTCACCTTGGGTAAAAAGTAGCTTTCTTCAAATTCAACTGCCTAAGAGTAATACACTAAAATAATAAGATTGGCATTCAAAACCCGGAACTTTTACCTCAATAAGTAGGATTTTACTATAAAATCTCAAATAGTTATCCATGTAGGATTCTCGATTCTACTTCTTTGAGATATCGTATTCTGGTTTCGACCGATCTAAACCAAATAAAAACGTTTTTTTGTGTTTCATACTTGGAATTTCCACTACTAGTCACCGAGATGAATATTACATCAACAACTGCCTACGCTGGTTATTTAAGATCAGATGGCCGGAAATAATAAGCAACAAGGAACTCTGGCGACGAATCAACCAAGAACCTATCACTCAACAAATATGCACTGGAAGGAAGTGAAGATGGATTCGGCATAAACTGAGAAGGCCGATTGGGAACATCAAGTGCCAGGCCCGTGATTGGAACCCATATTGGACGCGACTGGTTCGGCGTTCCAGCTGAGATTGTCATGGAGGAGATCGTTCGAGGATGAAATGAGAGGTTCTGGGATGTCCTGGAGCCAGGTTCAAAAGATTTCAGAGGACATAGCGCATTGGATAGTGCTATTCAAGCCTCATGTCCCATTAGGAACCCAGGGGACAAATAATATAATAATAATCCGGCGGGATCGAAGCGCACACATAGGAGCTCGTCTGCAAAAGAGTTTTAGCAATTCATCCCTGTTGTAATTACAATTATCAAAAAAGCAACTGATACTTGTTGCACAAGTGGTGGCTCTTATGATCCACTGGCCTAGTGCCTAACACTTTTGTTCTTGGAGCGATGGGTCCCTGGTTTGAGCCTCCTTGGGGACAACATCACTCACTGGCATGCAGGTACACGCAGCTTTCAAATCCCAAATAGAACGAAACATGCTTCTTGAAACTCACTGTTAGTCACCAAGATGAATAAGAGATATTTCGTGTTTCACTAACTAAACACTAGCTAGTCATTTTGAAAAACTTTGCGTACAATACATTTGTTTGTTTTTTAAACGGGAGCGAATGAAAGAAAGGGAAAAGAAAACCTATGCTTCATTTTAAACAATCGCTGTTAGATTACTTATTGGTTCTACTGCACACTAAATTGCAAGACTACACCTAACCGGATTTTATTTATTCGTCAAATACAGAGTGTTATGTTCAATTGTACAATCAATGGTTAAAATAAAGATTTTCTTAAAAATCCACCCTTCAGTTCTACATAGTCCGTTTCATCAAACGAAACAATTTTACTCATTCTGGTTAGTTATCACTTCTAAAGACCATTTGGATGAATTTGAACCTGAGTTTCTTTGTTGTAGGGATCACCTAATACGTCTGTAGTTTAGTGGATTAGTCATCACGTCATGCTATGAACTCATCTAACAGCTGGAAGAAATATTCAGTACCTAAGATGTGTATGAGAAGTGATAAGCAACTGAATGAATCTCTTGGCTAAATCATGTAGGCTATGACATATAGATTTTTCCATCTCGATTCATAAATCCAAGACCTTGAACTTATCAAGTATATTCTCACATACCTAACTGTGTTTTGTAATGGTTAGAAAAAAGAAGCATTTTGAATCTAGAAAACAACCACGCCATGATGGGATGGAGAGAATTCACAGCTCCATTCAAAAACTGTCGTGTAACTACTCAAAAATATTGGCTAATTGTAAAGTGCAAGATAGCTGAGAAAAAGTATGTGTAAAACTGCGTTGTCTCCGTTCAAAAGCGCGATTATAAATCTTTCCCAACCCAAGTTGAAGGAAACTGATAAACCTTGAAGTTTTGTAAATTTAATGACTTCAGACTTGTATGAATCAATGTATTAACTATGGAATACCAATATTGAAACGTCTTAACTTTTTAGTCAGAAACTTAGGTTAATATACTTTCAGCTTATTCAAACCGCAAAGTATATTCTTTTCTCTGAAGACTTTTAGTAGTAAAACAAACATATATTGCTTTTCAGCATGCAGAAATACGATGGAAATGAAACTTAGCCTTCAAAACAAGGAGAATACAAGGAAATTTTATCTAAGAATAAAGTACAAAATGACAAAAGTAAAAAGAATAGCACTAAACATGCTTTGGATCACCTTAAACTCAATTGATACATGTTTTTTCCTATACTGGACTGGCGGAATGCCTAACTTGGCAGAATAACAGAGAAACACACTAAGTCCCCTGCTTGTCACTGAGTCATCCTGACCCCCTTATTCACGAAATATAAACATTATTTCATGAATCTTGTCTTTCTAATGGGCCATCTTTAGTTAGCAGTCTGGCTTCACGAGAACTTTCGAATTTTTTTTCTTAATTCATTGGGTGACTCAAAAACTGAGATTCTTGTCTGTCTCAAAGATCTATAGCGACTCATTGTAGTTTCACGCTTTATTTTTAGTGATAAATACTGAAAGAATTAGTCTTACCTCTGACTGACCATTAGACTGTGCAAACTGCCCTTTAAGTAACTCAGAAGAATAGTCCCCTAAGAATAAGTTAGTTTTCAATGGATATTCCGTCAGCAATACAGGAAAGAACTCTTCTTTCTTGTCAGAAATGACATGAAAAAGAAAAGTCTCCTAGAAAATCTTGTTATTTGCATGTCAGCATCAAAGATGTGTGATTTCAAGGCATCTTCTAAAAAAGTGTCATGATAAGGAGGCCAGATGTGACAGTGAAGTCAAGCCAACCGAGAGGGTTGACACCGTCATGTCTCATAAAACGTACTTAATGTTTAAGCTGACTATGCGACACTGATCACCTATAACTAACCACAGATTTCTAAGCAAGAATCAACATCTGGTAAAGTTGATTATGAGACCCATGAATAAAACAAACAAACAACAGGGAAACGACAGTTTTCAGGAAGACTTCTCTTAAAATGGAAATTTAGGGGTGAAGTAACATTCCTGATGCTCTTTAGGAATGAGGTACACAACATAAAAATAATCCTCTTTCATACAGTGAGATAATTGTGACTTTAAAAACCATAATCGGATATCCTCCATGTATACTAACTATATCTGTTTCCCCTGAGAATGTGGTTATACTTAGTCAATAAACAAAAGAATCAGTCATGCAGTTCCTGACAAAAAATAACATTGCCTGTAACAAGAAGGTTAATATGTTATTTGTAAATTAGGTATATTCGTGGATAGTTACGATGATAGAGGAAGTGACACGGGATATTTATTGACAACAACTTATGTTCTGCCTCAAACTGACATAGTACAAAAACGGTTCATCATATATGAATGGAGCACCAACTTACCTTCTTCTGAAGCAGTAAGACCACTACTTTGACCTTGAGAATGTAACAGATTTTCACTTGCTAACAGTGGCGATTGTCTGTAAACGGAATTAGTACCCTGTGAACTAGGTTCTGACTGATGGCCAACTTTAGAATGTTGCTCCCTTCTGTTAGGAGGTATAGTACTTAATGCACTTTTACTACGAAATACATTACTATTTCTGTTCTTAGCATATCCTTTATCAGAAGAAGAGTTGGAATGATCTGCATCCCTATTCTCTATGTGTATTTGTTCTGGATCAGTGTTGGACTGAGCTTGAGGTTTAATTGAGTAGTCTTGTAATGTTGTAATGTCATCACTGTGAAAACGAGCGTGATATGTATCTTTCAGTAAGTCCTTCTGCAGACTTTTTTGAGAATCAATGTTTTTTTGTCCTGTAGTACTTGAAATCAATAACGTCGTAATATCCACATCAGAACAGGATGCTGGTTCTGCAAACTGGGTATCTTCGAAACTAGCCTGGCGTTTAGAATCAGAAAGAGGATGCAGCCTTGAGCATGTCGTTCTGACTGTCCGCTTACTACGTAGACTACTTTTGTTAAGTTTAGCTATCTGATTGAATTGCTGAGCTATACTATCAGGAATGGCATCTGAATTCAGGAAACTCACAGTAATCAGGTCTACTTTGGGACCAGTAATATTAGTGGTGCTGTAGTGACAGTAGTGGTATTGGTATTATCACTGGCGGTGGTTATGGTTGCTGTACTAGTGGCGTCAGAAACAGCAACATCAGTTGTAGCAACATCTGAAACATTTGCGGTGGAATCAATCTCTTCGGTACTTGCATCCACTTGTTCGGAAGGCTTGCAAGCATCATCTTCGAGTTTACTTTCATTACCTGTCATCTTCTCAACTCGACAAATCAAAGATTTTCCTAAATCATGAAGAATTTTATCGGAATCACTTTGGTGATTAGATTCAGTTAAGGCGATAAATTCTTTGCCTAATGTTTCAGGACATGTATTTGCGCTTCCAATTGCTAAGGGAAGATAATAAATATGTTCAGTTCTTCTGTGTTCTTCATCAAATGAAATTTCCTCTTCCAGGACAATGTTGAACACTTTAAAACCACATGATTCATCTTCTTTAGTTTTTTCGTTTTCAGGTTGTAAATAATTTTTGTTGTCTATAATTTCCTCAGTTTTACAAATAAGTGGATCAGTCTGTAAATTGGTGGTTATTTGATCTTCATGTGTATTCCTGTCTTCACGATTAGTTAAGTATTCCTCAACATCTTTGGACATATTTTTAACAGATTCAGTAACGAATTCTTCATTTAAACTATATGTATTCATTGTTTTCAATGCAGTTCAACTATTGAATAAACTAGCGGTACAATTCAATCTACTCTTGTGAATCACTGAATCATTTTTTCCTCCTTACTGAAATTGTGCTGGATTTCATTAGCATATTTCTGATAGATATTTTTTTTGTTTTTCATAGTATCTGAAATTATATCAACAAAAAGGTGTATTCAAAAAAAAAAAAATAAATGAAACAGAAAGATGAACACAACCTGTGCCCATAAATATATCAAATATCAATTCTTCCTTAAATCCATTGCGAAAAAGTAATCAATCAAAACTGATCACCAATCAGAAATTGGGTGTATAGTGTTTGTTATTTGACTTTGCTTTAAATAACGCCCACTTTCTAAGCCTATATGTATACAGTATGTGTAGTGGCAGTAAGTAATACACCACACATATTCATATCACGTGAAATAATTCAGTACTACAATGAAAGCACAGTCCATACTTCTGATTATTTAGTTCAGGTTAGTTGGTCAGTTGGTTTGTTTGTTAATCAGCAAAATATTTATCCTGATTAAGTGACCTATAAATGTAACAAAAAGAAAGTGGATATGTGTGTGTGTGTATGTGTGTGTGTATGTGTGCGGGAGACAATATGAACATTTCGATAGACAGATAGACCAAACACAAATCTTTCTTTATTCAAAGTGTACAAAAATATGGAATATTCAGACTATTTTACGCTTGTGTAAGCGTATAAATCATTATTTTCTTCTGCAGGTGTTATCTTGCATTTGTCATTACTCTATGGAAGTTACTGGTGTGGATAGTTATTAGAGTATTCAAAACTGTTTTTCGTGGCCCTAATTTCATTGTTTCTTCCACATTGAAAGGTTTCACAAAAATTGACCTACCTTTTTAATAGATACTCACAATCCTTTTTCTGTATTAAAAGTAACATGGAAATAAGATAGGAAACAAGGTGTAGAAGGAAATTAAATGGATCCGTTCAGTTGAAAACTGATTATTAGGGTTTGTTCTTCCAGATTTAACTGAAACATTTACATTAGAAGACAATTTTTTATTTCATTTCTACTGATTCTTATATTAGTAAAATGTTTGTTGTTATCAAAGAAGAATTCAGACACTATGGTAGAGTTTTATTCCACATTCTGGATGGTAACAGTTTTCAGTTACTACGTCATGTTTTGCACACAGTTGTTTATTCCTAATGTTTCACTTGTGATGAAGGTGTAACGACCAATATAAAACGCAGATCAGCTGAGTGTTTATGCACAAATGGATTTAGTGATGAATGGAATCCAGCTTCATAAACCACTCAGCAGTGATGGAGAAGCATCTGTTTCAGACTGCACAACAGAATGGGAAATATATGAGGTCAATTTACCAGATTCTGTTGAAAAACTTCAAAAGCAAACGATACTTAGGCTTCAGTTATGTATGGACGAATCTCAGAGTGTGTGAAATAGATGCTGAAGTAAGTGAGCACGAAACTTAACCCGTATGACAGAAAATCTTTCGAAATAAAACAGAAAACTTACATTAATGGTAAACGAAACCATAGCGTTCACAATCGTGATGACACTGAAAAGCAAAAATTCAAAATCTCGGTAATCTGACTGCGAAAATAAGCAACCTTAGAAGCATAGACAAGAAAACGAAGAAGAAATCAACATAGAACCTCGCATACAAGTGCACTGCTTCAAATTGCTATACTTCACAGTAGTAAAAAAAGAACAGGTGGATAGAAAGGAAGTGATATAAGAGTGGGTGAAATTGAGTCAGAGAACAAACAATTTACAGATGGTGATGACTGCAAATATGCAAGTGTTAGCAAATATTAGAGAGTTAACACATCTGTGCCACTGTGAGCGATTTCCAGAATGTGGCCGAAAATCTTCAACCACTGACTGCTATCATCTCGTTGATTCCAGTAGGTAGTCTATATTTCGTCACACGGCTCAGAGTAACAGTTACGCACTTCACCAACTGGTGCCACGTCTTAGTTGGACAACCCTGAACCCTCTTCTAACCTAATTAACCTTACCTGACATATTGAGGTAGGCGGTGGATCGGCATGGGTGGTAAATTTCCAAGCCATCTAATTTGATGACTGTTCACAAACTCACTGACCAAGTTAACTGCTTTGCCTAGTAGCCTTTGCCTGACCTCTACATGGCCCACATGGTAATTCCACTAAACGCGGGCAATAATGCGAAGGCACCTGTGATCCAAACCCTATAATCGCTTCAACTTTTAACGACCCTTTCTCAGCCGTGTAACAGGACAGAACTATCTACAGTGCAATATACTCTTCCTTTGATGGATAAATAGACACCTTACTGGCTCCACAGAATACTCATGTTGGCTAGTGCCGAACCCGCCATACAGTAAGATATAAAGAAGGTTTGACAAGTATGGAACACAGGCCAAACATACACAGATTTTGGTTTAATGCGTTCAGAAGACTGCATTTTGTCAGCGTCTTCACCTAGCACGACAATATCGTCTGCACACTTCAAGTCAATCAGATGACCTCCAAGGAGTGGGCCAGTCCCTATGAAGTAAGACATACCTAATTTTATGTGCGTTAATACGTCTATAACGATTCTAAATAGAAACGGTGACAGTGGGCATCCATAGTAGGTACCAATAATTTTCGTTAATTCAAATGACAACTCTTCATAATCTTCATAACCTCGGAAACATAACAGATACATAAGTCAGCACAGAACCTTCAAAATCGATCAAAATCCACTCAAAACCCTTCTGCACATTCTCGCAAAAAGCAATGTAACATGGCTATTGTGTGATAGTCGGTGATACTAACTGTTTGTACAAGCCCCACTTAGTGGAGTAGTGTTTGAACCATGACCCACTGGTTGTTATCCATCTCTCTGGGCCAATCAGTCACAACTCCAAACATGGAATCTTGTAGAGAAGTATACTAGCCAAAATTGGCAAAAAAAAGAAGCAAACTGAAAGTGAATGATACTATTCAAGCAGAAAAGAGTGTGGAAAGAGAAGAGTAAACATTTCAGAATTTTGAGAATGACAAAATTTGGATACCGCCCTTTTATTGTGATAACATGAGATCAAGTCATAACACACCTCAAAATACTAACTCCTAATGTCTTTGAGATCGCAGTCCATTACCGTGGACTTTAACTCACGACTCAGATAGTAAATTTGCAGTATAAAGGAATAGAATAGAATAGAGTGTTCTCAGATGAACCTTCAGAAGTTACTGCCTAAGAAACGGAAGCTGTTTAACATGCACTGGGATTTAAAAGAAGAAAATAAACAACCGTTTAGAATATGAAAAGTAGTTATATCATAAGAGAATCGCCTAGTGATCATTCCTTTACGATAGTCATGGAAAAGAATGAGGTTGTTTGTTCTTTTGAACCCATAATGTTGGAGTAAAGTGCTGAGTAGCTAATGCATTAAGTATATATCCAATTGCTTTATTCTTTTATATTTTAGATGACTTCGTCGCGTTTAATGCAAAATTTGAAGGAATTTATGAAGAAGGGCCAAGGATTCTGAGTTGACTAAATATTCCGTTAAAGAGTTGAAGATGTGTTCATTCCATAGACTTCAGGATAAAAATTTGACCTGACAGGACCGAATATATTAAGCATTGAGTAAACAGATTATATAAAAAATACGTTTGTCAAATCTCAATGACGTAGAAAAATGAATTTCTGATGTTTCGCAACCTCATGAAAGTCACTTTTCTTCTTTTCGTCTCTTAGGCTAAATATTCTTCGAAAGTGCATTTCGTAGGCTGGCGCATGCTAAAGCGGATGTATTTGGCTCTACGGAAGCAAGTCAAATGATAATCAACACTATAACTACAGGTGGATAACGGTTCAAGATGATAAACACGCATCGTGAGTATTTCAATCAGCAAAATTGGAGAACGTAGGTGATCATCTTGCTGATTCTATGGAGGGACAGAGGGGCGAAAATCAGTAAAATCTTCATACGGTGTTTGATGGTGTGGTCAAGAAATTCCATTGTACAAATTAAATCCCTCAAATGTCAAGGCTTGAGGCGGTTTACTTCTTCATTTGGCTCGAATATATTCCACTTTGAAGTATTTAAATAATAAATACAACATTCATCAGATAATCATTTATAGTTTTTAATGGAGAGAGAAAGAAAGAAAGTAAACCTTATTGTATAGAAATAATAATTTCTTGAATATGAAATACGCAATCTTGATACAGTATTACATTTGACTGTTTTCACACCTATTCCATATTACCGAATGACTAATCGATTCACACTTCAAAATATTTGACATTTTTCATTCGACTAGATGATATTTGAAAATATTCCTTATGAAAACCTAAGGAATTTAATGTTTATATCTTCAATTTGCATCGGTAAATGACTCTAAACTTTCAAACACTGGTTTCTATCTGTTTGTCTGACCTTCTTTCATATTATGCTTCGGATATGCAGAGGTTGAACAGTCATCTGTTATATAAAGTTGGATTTTGAAATCAGAAAGCATCAGATTATTTGATCAATTCTTATATGTGTTGAAATATGTCCTGAATGGTTTGATGTTGACATTCTGAACCATTATAATACTTAATACGACTTTGAAGAAGAAGGAACTCCTCCTAGTTTTTCGGTACACATTACTGGTGATTTCAAAGAAGCATAGGTTTATTGATTTATGATATTTTTACTTAACTGTTTGACAGCAAACAAGCCCAACAAGTGAAGTGTTGCACAAGTATTAGTGTAAACCTTCTCTATAAGGGAAATAGAAAGGGAATGGAATCAATGATACAGGCATTCATGCTTTTGTAAATCTGCATCTAACATAGCCTGGATTTGTACTCATGTATCTTTGCATCAAGATTGATAGACCAAATAATAAACTCAGTAAAAGTTCCAGGCCTTTGCCGGATGCAAGTTAAAACGTCACAGCGATTTCGGCTTGGTTGATTGTCTTTCACATAGTTAATGTTGTTCATTCATCAGACAGCATAGCTGTTGATGAATTCTCTCACATGAAACCACATGATTCATTAGCCTTTCACTGCTGTCAAAGTTCTTATCTGTCTACTATCATAGGCACAAATCTGCCAAACCACAACTGTCCCACGTAGTTACATCAATAACTAATCCATCACAGATCCTCTGGGATTCGGCTGAATTCGAATTTGGATGGGAATGAGTTATTAATCGCCTAGTATGATGAGTTTCAATTCATGGTCTTATTAATAGCAGAAGTGGAATGGTTGTACTAAATCCTCATTCGCTAGCTGCCAGCTTCATCTTCAACCATGGCAAAACATTTAGTGAAGCTGCTCACTCCGACAAGTGCCTTAGATGTCCCTGTATGGTTTGATTTTAGGTTGAATGATATTGAATGATATACAACAATTAGATATATTGCAAGAATATACTTTCTTCACTGGTCAGCAATTTTACGGAGCAGGACAATACTACCTTCGAGGAACATGAACAATTAGAAATAACTTTCACAGCTATCTCCCACTATTTTCCTACTCAAATGTTTTGGGAGCTGCGTTGCTATTCAACGTTTACCTAAAGCAGTGGAGTAAACTATGAACGTAGAGTGATTATCAGACATCTCGCAAAATGTTTCCCATCGCCCAAAGCATTTTTTGAATGTAGCAGTACGGAAGTGCCAGTGTCCACGAAATATGTCTCCGCAAACTGGTGAGGTGAATATCAGAACTTCTAATTCCAAAACACTTCACCTGATGTATATTCAAGTATTCAAGTTGTTGCTTCATTTCACTCGGCGATAACAGAGGTCAAAATAGTATTAGAAAAAGGAGTTGAATACCTTTGGTCAAGTGAGTCATTTAATTCAGTTCAGTTCGATCATAGAAGGGATTTTACTGTTCTAATTAGAAGCAACTAATAAATACACTTTCGTCAGTGACAAACGTGCATTTCTCGTCCCCCTTCTTCAAAAATTCATGAAGTATATTGAGCTACTCACTATCAGTAAGTAGGATAAGCAAACGTTACATGTATTTGAACTTGCTACTTGAACTACTACTTCTACTACTCTTATCAATAACACTGACTATGCCCATTTTTTGAGTTGAAGTTGTAATGTTGATAAATTAGTGTTTTATACGAACATTTCAATATTTATTTTATATTTTCTGATGAAATAGGACAACTGTATATATCGGACTGATCAGAAATGAACTACAATTTATACACAATTATCTAAATACATCAACCACATCTTTCTCTCTGACTTCTGTGGCAAATATCCATGACAGCAAGAAATTGACCTGAGTCATATGGAAGTAATGATAAGACTATACCTACCTTACACAATCAGTCATATATTTCAGGTTTAAATGACTGACTACGCCACCACATCTCAGATTTAATGACGAGATGAATTTTAAATTGACAGACATGGTTACATCAGGCTAACTGGGT